ATTTCGTCAATTTATTGTATTCTATTCTATAGGGAGCCATCATGCAATCTATAGACGTTACTTCTTGAAGCAAGATAAGTCATGTCCAGGATACTGCATACCATATAACCAACATAATGGCTTACTGGTCAGAGACCGAGATTAATACTTTGGATTGTGGATCACGTGCTGATGTAGGTTTGAAAAGGCCCATCTTAGGGCATAGTGAAGTGTGTTTCGTGTGCAGGCTGGCCGTAGGCACACTGATTAACGAGATACAGCCGATGATGAAGAAGAAGAAAATCGATGTTTTTGCGGCTCATTTTCTAAGCGTCAAGGAAATTTAGCCGAACCTCAGAGGCACTTTTGTAATTGTTTAGTGAAGGGCTTTTCGTTTCTATCCCTTTGGCTAGGTTTTGCCGACATCCTGGCGTATGCACTACCATACGCAATGTACGGGCCGCCATTTTAAACCGGACCCATCCGTACAGGGATCGCTACGCCACTCCCTGATAATAAAATTTGATGTTTAAGTATCCACTAATTTGAGTTTTATCCGATTTCACACAAAACATATTCATATCCAACACGCTTGGCATGACCTGGTGGTTAAGACACTCGACTCTTAATCTGAGGTTCGCGGGTTCAAATCCCCGTCACCGAATATGCTCGCCCTTTCAGCCGTGGGAACGCTATAATATGACGGCCAATCCCACTATTCGTTGATAAAAGATAAGACACCTTTTTTTACCTTTTTATTGGCTATATTTCTGTGCGCTATCAATACTAAGCGTGGGGCGCGCGTATACCCGATTCGATTTTATTGCTCATCAGGATCTCTACCAGCCTACTCTCAAATTGAAATTCTTTTAGGTAGGATTACAGCACATTAATCCGAGATCTTGGGCGTGGTAAAATATATCAATCGAAAGGGTTTGACCTCACGACGAATTTAGATAAAATATACTAGTGACTAATTATATTCTGTTAATTTAAATTCACCACTTTGACTTGCATTTCGCTAACTTAGTGAAGTGCAAAGATACACGTGCGCTTACTCGCATTGTTGAAATAAATAAACTTGTAAATGTCTACTGAAAAATATTATTTGCTTATGTTAGCAGTGTGTCGTTGATGGTAAAATGGTGATGTAGGCGACCACTATGAAGATCATCCAAACACAGTAACGATCTTAATAGATATAGATTATATAACCAAGAAAAAGGGGTTAACGCCGACTGATCAGAAGTATGTCTTACAGATGTAGAGATTATTAGCTGGTGTAAAGTATTTAGGCCTTATCGTCCTTCCAAATTACGAGTTAGACACCTCAGAAAGACTTTCTTTGTGATAATCCCAGAAGTCGAAATAACCGATGCTAGAGAAATGATCTTTGCATTTGTAAAAAAAAAAAATTCCCCAATGAATACATGTTTCTTCCCCAGTGGCTTAGTGGTAAGATTGAGGGCTTATAGCAGTAAAAATGCAGGGCTAGATTATTGCGTTTGGCAAAGTACAGACTGTTTATTGTACAGATTTTCCGATATACTTTTCCGGAAAAATAAATCCTAAGTAGTCATTTCCCTGGAATGCGAGACAAGCATGTTAACCTGGTGACTTTTACAAGTACTATCAGTGGTGTTGTGGCAACGAAAACGCCAATAAATAGTTGTTTGCTTCTTGTTGTTTTTTTTTGGGGGGGAGTGCTCAGTTGTATATTAAAGTACAGTGGTAGAAGAGTTCAAATTTGGTCATTTTCTGACTAATGCAGCGTTCATAGATATTATAGTATTTAAGAATGTATAAGTGAAAAAAATAAGACTTACAAGGCAGGTGGCAGCACTGTCTATGTACGGAAGGCTTGGATTGTTCCTCGAAATGCTATTTTAAATATCTTCTCAATAGGTCATCACAACTTTACAATACTATACAGTTTTACCTTTTATAACAATGTCTATGTAATAACTGAGTCACAAGGTCTGGTAATGTCTGTAAATATCATATCAAAAAGTTTGAATTTCTCGTTCTTCTTTCTTCTGCTTTTTTATTACACGATAACTCAAAAACCAAAACAACGATGTTAACCAATTTCACTGATGTGACATAGTTTCAAACGGAGTATCTGCTTTTACATGTATTTTAACTAGTAGTGACTTTAAAAACCTCATAATTCTAGTGTAATGTTATCATTACCCCTTGAAGTTAGCTTTCTTACGATAATTAACGCTTTTTACAGGGTTAAACAGGAATTACCAGCCAATAATAGATAAACAATATAGTTGGAACCTTTTTTGTATTTCTAACTTGGTTATAAATACAACCTTCCTATGTCTATTGAAACACTGCATTAAAAAAACAGTTAGAAAATTGTAATTATTAACCTTTTTTATTTAAATAATTTGAAAATCAGAATTTAGGGTAAGCATTAATTGCATGATATTTTTATTTTTAACTCCAACTTGTTATTTTCACTTGACTTTATAATAAATGTGACTTTGTCATTTTAAGTTATATTTTCTGTGGTGCACACTAGAAGTACTGATTTGATGAAAATTTGACAGATATCTGCATTATTTTATCTGGATTACACGTCAGGCCCAAGTGTAATCGGATGAACCGAATTAAATCTGTTACTATTAGTAGACGCCTGTCGTTGCTTTTGTACTATTAGGCTTAAATCCAATTTAAATCGACTATACGTCGTATCTCAGCCAGCCTGATGAGTCTTGGCACTGGACGAAAAGCCTCATCGGCGATGAATATTGTAAATGTGGTGTGGTTGATGTATTATAACACGTTCTCCTCACTCGTGGGTTTTTAGAATAAACCACTAAGTGTTAAGGCGGCCTTTCAGACTCACCATTACGTAAGTGCATTGTTTGCTATTTCACTATTTGCATTACATCTTCTTGTAGATACAGCTTGTTTTTCTCACCAATTACCAGCCTTTGTTTACTTAACTCGGTATTTATATACATGAACGTTAAATTCGTCTTTATGCTTCATTTCACGTCAGTATAAGAAGAAATCCAGGTTCAAATCATAGATGAATTAAAAGCATACCTTGAACACAACTTTTGAAAATAAAATAAAAATATTTATACTTGATTCAAAATAGCACATGTGATTAATATTTCCCAGCACCTACAATAAAATGTGTAATAAATTGATGGCAGTTTTTAATAAACTGTCTAACATACTTTAATATAAGTGGCGTTATGCTTAGATAAATAAAGAGAACGTTGTATTAAGTTAAAGAAAGACAAGATCTCTAGAGAATTTAGTTTGAAAGAGATTAATAGTCTTAATCTCGGGCCATATAAAGTTAGTACGAGTTATTATTCAGATCTCATTTCGTTCGAAGTTCAAGTCGAGAATAAAACTTTAAGAGATGATTTACTTCTTTGTAAACCAATTATATAGTTGGGTGAGACCAGGCATAGTTGTAGTAATTATGATGAATAACTCCTGTTTTGATTCTAACCGGAAATGTATATAATTTACGCAGAATGTACATTCAGTCATCTAGTCGGTGAAAATATCTATCATTTAACACAATAAAGTCGCTCATAAAAATTCAAATAATTCCCGAACTACCACTTGGATCTTCTAAACGGAAAATTTGATGTAAACCGCCCCACTTTCTAAAGTTTTCTCCAATACTTTTTCCAAGAAGGTATTTCTTTTGGTTAAAAAAATATATATACAAGATATTCTTTGACACAGATGTCTTGAGATCCTTTAAAACATAATTACAAACTTTTAAACTTGGGTCGATCGTGGTTAAGTCGTTAGCTCGTCGAATTGTGGTATTAAAAAAACTGTGTTCAGCTTTGGGTGCGTTATAAAAGTAATCGTCAATCTTAATTCGGTTTTAGAGGCTATGTATTGCACTCGAAGGTAATACAGACTGGCTGGCCTTCCCTCGGGTAAGTAGTTCAAAAATTAGGGACGGCTATACCCGAATCCTTTGATTTATGGTGTTATACAAATTTTAATTTCGATCATTTTGAAATGCTGTTATTAAGAGAATACAAAGAACGTATCTTTTCTAACACCTAGGCAATTCTGGTAACGTGAATTTCGCAAATGTACTGACTTCTGAACAAGGATGGTCCAAAGCTCGAGGAAGGTAAAATTGATTAATGTTAATGCTTTAAAAGTATGGCTGCTTATACTATCAATAACCAGCAATTTCACCGTCTGATATCTACGTGTAACTTCAAAGGGGAATTCCCAGTAGGAAAATGTTACCCTGTTACACTAGTGGTTAAAAAAAGTTAAATTACTATGTAACGAAAGGTTTTTTTTGTGTGTGTTGCGTATAAATGCTATTTCTCTTGTATCGTAATGTATTTGTCATCGGTACTTGTGTGTGAATATATCCTTAACAGGTAAATTTTGATACTAGATGTAATAAAGCAGTCCCTCCTCTTTTCTTATGTTGTATTTAGTATATTAATATGCTTCTCTGTCATTAGTTGTATTTTACGTTGTCGTTTCCTTGACTTGTGATATATTTTCAGGTTCGCATCATTTGACTTTCGTTATTATTAAAATACTTTTTTTTGTTATAAGTTTTAAGTTGTATGTTGCGTATGATAAATTATTTGTCATTAATGTTTAAAAAAAAATCCAAAGCACTGGAGATTAATTTTCCTGGTTTGTGAGCTCGTAGCTAAAATGCCGTTTAATACCAGATGTAAGCTGAAAGCCTTGATTAACCAGTGTTTACTTTAATACAGATATAACCGACTTACGACAGCTTTATTTTAAAGCTAGTTTATAATTTTAAATTTGATTAAACTTTCGTGTACAGAACAATTCGTTATGAACAGCGTTTAGACCGAATGTTTACCTATAGACCTTCTGTTTAGCAAACAATCTGGTCAACTGTTGACCACACTATTATCAATGAAATAAGATTCCTTGCAGTTAAGTGATTATCCATAGAAGTATTTGAATTAATGTACATTTGCTAGAGATCAATTATTTAATTCCACTTTTCTGTTGTTGTTTAGGAAAATTAAATTTTAAGAATGCCGGCTTATTCCGCTGTGGACCCATCCATCTCCAATAGTCCACCGTCCAAGACCTCTACTACCATGAAGAGCGTAACAGAAGCTCCCGCAGTCCCTAGGATGCCAAAGTGGGACATGGCTGAAGATATTGTTATTAGCGGTATTTCTGGCCGATTTCCAGAGTCTGATAATATGGCTGAGTTTAAGGATAACCTCTTCAATGGTGTAGACATGATTACAGAAGATGACAGGCGGTGGAAGCCAGGTAAGAACAAATCAGTAACGTACAGAAATCGTTGTCTAGGATCATTATGGTCGGTAAAACAATACACTGAAAAACTTCGCATATATGTCTTTGAAGTTTCATAGTTTAATAAACAGAAATAATGAAGGCCGTTCGTTTTTATTTCCTTCTTAGTTGTAGTACCCAACTATGTGATACTACTTTTTCATTTTGTAAATAAATGGTGTATTTGATATTGTTATTTCTAAAAAAACTCTGGTTCTAACTACGTATAAATCAAACAATATATTTTTCATTTTGTTCTTGACACGTCACTATGAGGTATTCTCAAGCAAAACTGAATTTTTCGGTCAACTATTAAGTTCGCAAAATAGGAGGTTTTTAGGAAATGTGTGCAGGGTGACAGTAGGTCAAACTTGAACAACAACAACAACAAGAAAGTACTGACAGTTGTTTGATTTTGAACAAAGAAAAATTATTGATTGACAATCGGTTTTTCAATAAATGTATCCTATTCTGTTTAAATCGTTTAAGGTGGTTATGGTGCTCGACTCGCAATCTGTGGGTCGCGGGTTCGAATCCTGTCACATCAAACATGCTCGCCGTTTCAGCCGTAGGGGCGTTATAATGTAACGGTCAATCTCACTATTTGTTGATAAAAGATTAGCCCAAGAGTTGGCGGTGGGTGGTGTTGACCAGCTGCCTTCCCTCTAGTCTATCACTGCTAAATTAGGGACGGCTAGCGCAGATAGCCCTCGTGTAGCTTTGCGCGAAATTGAAAACAAAAAATGTGAAGAATGTACATCAATCCGAAGTAATCTACTAAACTACATTAACAAAACTAAAACACAGAAAGTAGGGGGGGGGGGCAAGAACAAAAATATTGTTCATCTAACTTGTCCAATTTCTTCGTTGTTTAGTTAAATTATTGTTAATATAGCAATATATTTTGGTGATAGGATTGATTAAGTTCTTTATATTTTACTTTAGATGCTGAAAATGGAATCGTTAGAATTCCGAAACGTTCATCCGCGTCCCTTCTGATATAAATGTTGTTATCCCTTTTATTGTCAAACGTTGTTTTCCTTCGATTGCTAATAAATTATATATATATATTGGGTAAGATATTTCTGGCGAAATTACTGGTATGTTATTAATATTATAGACTTATTCCTTCACTTGTATTCTTCATTCAGTTATTCGTTTTGGGTTCAAAGTTGTTTTTAAAATGAGTATAAGATTTAATGGTGCACGAACTCCTCTGTATATGTATGCAACAATCGGCAAGACAAGTCTGAACAGAACACTGCACAGTTCGAATTCTGATCAAATATTAGCTTTGCGTAGATCGAGTTTACGCTGTCTGTACATCCTAGGGTGTTATGCCCCCAAGTCAGGAGACTAATCCTAGTATTTGAGAAACGATACAGCAAAAGTTTTATTGTGTGTATATGTGCATCTGTTGAGCATGCCAGAGTTTGTGGAAGAGTTTAACACATCTGTTTTAAGTACAACTAAAAGTGACTGCCTAAAGGCATTATTAGCTAAGTTTACGGGTAGTCGCATCCTGTTCATAAAAAAGCTAAGCTAACCATAGACAACCTGTACTGAATTTATTAAAATCTTGAAAAACAATGACCCGAATAAATGAGGAAATCGGATGTTTCAGCATAGACCGATGTAAAAAAACGTTTCATTTTAAAACTTCTATAGTTGTAAACTGAATAATACAGGGTTTCTGGACTCTAATTCCGTTATCTCGAGACACGTTTATTGCGTTTTTACTTCAGGCATGTTATGGTCTTGTCACAATACTTTGGTGGTTAGAGCACTTGAGTCGCGAGTTCGAATCCCATCACTTCCGAAGGTGACACCCCTTTCAGTCGTTTGTGTGTTGGGGGGGGGGGGGTTATAATGGGAAGGTGATTCCCGGTATTCGATTTAATTAGCGTAAGAATTAACAGTGCGGGGAAGGGGGGTATTGGCCAGTAGCCTTCTAACAGCGAAACGCACCAAACTTCTTTTTTACGAGCACAGAATTTTACAGATGTGACGTGGAACGTGTTTTAATATAGATGAGTTATGAAAAGTAAACATCTGAAGATAATATAATTATATAAGAGGCCATATAATGGGTGGAAATACAACTTGCCCCTGACAAAGAAAAGTCTACCTATCGAACGCTTTGGGAAATAGGGTTACTTCTCTGCCTTTCAAATACATGCATACATACATGGGTGTGTGTGCACATTTTGTTATATGGGCATTTTAATTTAATGCTCGTTATCAACAAATTGTATACCGAGAACACTTACTTGTAATCTGTAAGTCTGTTTACAAAAACGTCATTTCAACCATGTGCCCCATTTTGATTTATTATCCTGCATTTCGTCACAAACCACTAGGTTTTTTGTTTTAAATCAATCTATTTACGTTGCGAGTTCCAGGTTTGTAAGACAGACTTGAAATTTAAAACAACTTTGATTGATTGTTAAACGTTTGCTACCAAACAAGAGGATCTGAATCCAATCGAATACAAAGTATTAATCAAAATCAAGAAACGGGAAAAAATTAATATTACTGAAGGTAGTCACTCGGCAATGCAATGAGTTTTAAAAAATGGGAGAAAGGGCCTTCCCCATGCACGATTTTGAGCCGTAGCAAACC